GCTGTCCTGTCCGACGTCGACGACACGATCCAGGTGACCCAGACGAGCTCTCCGCTTGGTATCCTTCGCAAGACCTTTGTCGACCCTCCGAGTGCCGTGCCCGGCATGCCTGAACTCTACAGGCACATCACGTCTCTCATATCCAAGGAGGCGCCCGTGGTTTTACCTGTCTGCGTCACCGTACAACCTGTACCCATTCTTGCGCAACTTCTGCCGCCAATGGTACCCTCACGGCACACTGATTCTTCGCGACTCGAGTTGGCGCACCATTGCGGGTCTGCTGTCGGCCTTGACCCAGGGGACAGAGCAGTACAAGACGGACCGTATCCGCAAGGTGCATTCGTGGTTGCCAAAGCGCAAGTTGATTCTCATTGGTGACTCGACGCAGTCCGACCCTGAGGCCTACGGCGACATGTAAGTCATCGCGGAACTATCGCTTCAAAATAGCGCGCAAGAGCATTGGCTGACGCTGTGTGTAGCTACCGCGAGTTCGATGGATGGGTCAAGCTCATCCTCATCCGAAAGGTGACCGACATCGCCGCTGTCGGTATCGAGTCGAAGAATGAGCCGAAGCGATTCGAGGAGGCCTTCAAAGACGTGCCGCGCGAGGCCTGGCACATCTTTGAGGACCCTGCCGAGTGCAACAAGATTGTGGAGAAGGTGGTTGCTGGCGCTTGAAGCTGGGCTTGATGGTTCTGACTGTGCGCGGTGATGGCGTTTGTGTTATAGCGAGAGCTTGTTGGGAGGAGCACCTGGCGAAGAGACGAGAACACGACTTTGATGACGATGATGATGACAACTGGAGCGGTAGTAATAACAGGCAACTTGACATTTCATTCATTTCCCTTAGAGAATTGGCTCATTGTCCTACCTACGTGCGGTGATGGATTTGGCAGCTTACGTTCCACTGCATTGCGGGGTGGTGCTGCTGCTCACGTCGGTCGCCGCTTGACCATTTTGGTGGGGTTCACTGCATCCCACCACCCATCACCCACTACCCCCAAAGACTTTAATCATACACCACTCATCCATCCGTCGTCCGCGCCCGAACATCACAATCAGCTGCGCGGGAAGTCAAGCGTCGCCTTTCCATTGAAGACCGTACAACCAGAAGCTGGTGAAGAAAGTTCCATCCCGGCCCTTTCGGTCTCGTCAAGATGCAACCACTCGGAGCCTCGTCGCAGAGGGGGTCCAACCGAACGAGGCTACCTTCCTGCCCGAACACGATTCCATTTTACCTGTCCGCCATCCCCATGTCAGCAATGCCTACATCTTCCAATCTGCAGCACACGAGCTCGCATGCTGTAGGTCTGCATGGTCGGTACAGCAGCGCATGACCATAAGGCACAGCCAGCTGTCGCTTGGCACCGCCTCGGTCGCCCGTTGAAGCACCCCCCTCCTCCATCGCCCGACCTTTGCCACGGCGAGAGTCTAGTTCATGCCTGCGAATTCAGCCCATCACAGCCACCAAAAAAAATAGCCTCTCCACGCACCAATCTCCGTCGCTTTGTGAAGAGGTGACTGCTGTCCAGGAGGATGCAGCCGCAGCCGCCCGTCCCGTCCGAATCTAGCCTCAGTTGGGGGCCATGTACAGTTGACAGTGCCCCAGCCAACCATCGTCAGCTCTCAACGTCGTGCACCCTTGTCAGGACGAATCCAGGTGCTCCTTCAGCTCCGGCGTTCTGCATGATGATTGGGGGTCTGGCCTTACGCCCATCTCATCGACCTCTCGTCAACCCCTCCTCATAGAATCAGGACCTCCAAGGTGAGCGTCTTCTTCGGCGCACGACACAGAGAGCATCAATTGCGCCGGCGCGACCGCATACGAGCCGCTCAGTCCCTGTACCAACCGACCGCAATCAGATTGGATCTGCCAGAGGCGTTGCCAGATGGCGATACAGCGTGCTGACACGCTCAAGCTCGCTGTCCACAATGTGGCACAGCCAAAGTCGCTGAAGGAAGATCTGTTTCCGAACGACCACTTCCTCGGCGTCCGCGTCTTGCATACGCCCCCAAACCCGCAGGTCGATATCATATTCATCCATGGAATCACTGGTCATCCATACAAGACCTTTGCCACGAACGGCGCCAGTCCCATCTACTGGCCGACCCAGCTATTGGCGCGAGACGTTCCAGAGGCCCGGATTCTCTCGTTCGGGTACGATGCTGATGTTGCCAAGTTCTTGGGACCAGTGGGACAGAACGACATTCGGGAGCATGCGGCAACTCTGATCAGTGACATTGCAACTGTGCGGATTGAAGACCATGCAGTGAGTTCGGGCTACGATGCTGCGATCGGCGTCCTCCAAGTTCTAAGAACGGCCCCAATGACCCGGTCCAGTCTAGACAAGCCCTTGGGAGAGGCCCTGGGTGGCCCAAAGAAAAGCCCCTGAAAGCCTGTGTCTCTCGGAGCAGGCTGCGGAGCAACATCAGAAACAGCTTCATGAATGCGTGACGGCTGTTGCGTTCCTGGGAACGCCGCATCGTGGCTCCGACCTGGCCCCCGTTTCGCCGCGGGCGTGGCTCGCATCCTCAAGGCATCCAACTCACGAGTCAATGTCGATATCATTCGTCTACTGCAGCGCGATTCTGAGGCTCTCGCTGACATAGAGGCTGCCTTTGGCATCTGGCTGCGGAAAAACACCGCTCGTTTCCAACTGACATGCTTCTTCGAGGAACGGGAAGTCGTTGGTGTCGGCATGGTTGTGAACAAGGACTCGGCCAAGATCAGCGGTTATCCCCAACTGCCGGTCCCCACAAACCACATGGACCTTGTTCGATTTGCTAGCACAGAAGATACTGGGTACCGACGGGTCCTTGGTGAGCTGCGGCGCTGGATGCGACATGGAACATCTGGTGCGAGACCCTTGGCCCACTTCGATTGGAACTGAGCTGACTCCCCGAAAGACATTCCAACTGCTGAGGTTGCTTCGGACAAGCTAGACTTTGACGGTAACATAAAGAGCAACCTTAATGACCTCAACCACCCTATCACTGACACGTTTCAGGTTGCATGTCGACTCTTTTCTTCCCAGAGATGAACGCACGCGGGGCTGACGTAGAGACTGCTGCTGCTGGTACCTGCCGTTGGATCCTGGAGCATCCCACCTACCTGCAGTGGCACGCCAACGGCCAAGGCCTGCTGTGGGTGAAGGGCAAGCCCGGTTGTGGAAAAAGTACGCTGATGAAACATGTCATCAAGAACTCGAGCGATATTCATCCAGACGGTGCAACTCTCAAGATCTGTTTCTACTTCCACGGCCGCGGGACTGATCTCCAGAGGTCGCCACTGGGGCTTTTCCGTGCCCTGGTGCACCAGATCGGCCAAGCTTACCCTCGAGCTGTGAGCTCCATCGTCAACCATTACAAAAAGATGGACGAGAGCCTGGCAGGGCCTTGGTCATGGCGTCCTCAGGATCTCGAGGACTTTTTCGTTTCCGACGTCCTTCCTGCCCTGTTGAGGAGATCAGGACTTTGTATCTTTATCGATGCCCTGGACGAGTGCGGCGAGAAAGAGGCCCGACGTCTCGTGCAGTTCTTCACGCGCATCTACGACACGTCTGCCTCGAGCTCGTATCGAGTCAGCATTTGTTTCTCATGTCGCCACTATCCCATCATCGCCCCGGACAACTGCGAGCAAGTAGTAGTCGAGTCGGCCAACGACAAAGACATTGCCAGGTATATCGACCAAGAGCTCACGCGCGTGGTGACAAGTCCGGAAGACCTCGAGGCTCTCCGTCAGAAAGTGGAAGAGCAGGCGCGCCAAGTGTTTTTGTGGGTGGTGCTCGTCATCCCTCAGGTCGTTTGGAAATACAACGAAGGCAGCACTGTCGAGGAAATAGTGGACTACATCGACAAGATCCCGCCCCAGCTCCACAACCTCTACGCAAACCTGATAACGGAACTCAAGGAGAAGAGCGCCTTGAAATCCAAGCAACTTTTCCAATGGATCTGCTTCGGCACCGAGAACCTTCCCGTCGACCGTCTGCGGGATGCGCTGAACTTTGACGGAGAAGCTGGCATACAGCGAGGGGCGTACGAGAACTGGGTGTCAGCGTCAGACACGATCCGATCGAACGACCAGATGGTGAAGAAACCTCGGGTGCTTTCTGCCGGACTCGCAGAGATATCGAATGGCGTTGTGCAGCTTGTTCATCAAACCGTCCAAAGACTTTCTCTTCGAGAAAGGCTTCGCCATGCTCGATGGCGTCGAGCAACTGACTTTGACTGAAATAACGGGAGCGAGCCACCACAGGCTGGCGAAATCCTGCCTGCTTTACTTTGCCTCTATCGAAAAGGGGTTACGTGGTGAACTCTCTTCTTTTGATGCCCGCCGCGCCAATCACGACAAGGTGCGCCTTTATGAGCTGACCGAGAAAAGCTACTATGACCATCCATTCCTTGCCTACTCAGTACGGTACTTATTTACGCACTGCGCGTCAGCCGACGAGGCCGGGTTGAGTCAAGGTTTCATCAACGACTTCCTGGGAGATGATCGCGACGAGGTCATCTCCAATTGGGCCAAGGTTGCGACATCTGACAACATAGAAACCCAGTTTTGGGAGGACGTAGCAGGCGCCCCCGAATTCGGGACCACATTACTACATGAGGCTGCCAAACACAACATCAAAAGTCTCGTCCCGGACTTGGTCGGCAGCACTCAGAAATACACTGGCGCTCGCGACTTTAACAACCGGACACCACTGGTTTATGCCGTATGGAACGGACGCCAAGGGATCGTGGAATATTTGATCAGCAGGCCGCAAACTGACGTGAATGCATACATCAAGAGCGGCTCCCAAAGCTTTACCGCTTTTCAATTGGCACTTTTGCTCGGGTTTCAACGGATCGCCCTGGACATTTACAACCACTCAGACTTTGATCTCGACGCGCACTGGACCATCAAGAGCGGCTGGGTCCACGAGACTGACATGACGACGTTCAACAATCGAGGCCTGTCGTCGGCCAACTTTTCGCGCGCGATCGATCTCACGATTGCTCACGAGAACATGGAAGAAGTCTTTGACAGGCTTTTGGCGTCGTACGATCGGCAAAAACCGTATGGCCAGACGATATCAATGCTCGTCAGGTGTGAGACGGCGTTGAAGTTTCAACAGGGCAAGATGCTTCTCGCTTTCTTGAAGCGACTTTCCATGCAAGAGATCGACACTTTGCTCAAGAGTGACGACACGTACTTTTTCCTGCATGACGCCGTCCAGCAAAACTTTGAAGAAGGCGTTCGCCACCTAATTGCAGCTCGGGTATGCGATCTGAACAAAGCTCGAGGGGTTTCGCAGTCAACACCGCTGCACCTGGCCATCACCCACCAGCTGAAGAGTATAGCTGAGATGCTCGTCAAGGCGGGGGCGGATGTGGACAAGCGCAACGCGACAGGACAGACGTCTCTGACGCTAGCACTACAGGGTGGCTACTCAAACATGGTGCACACTCTCCTCAGCTTCCCCGAAGTGGATCCCAACGTGGGCAACGACGACTGGAGTCCCATAGAGATTGCCGTCGAAGTTGGAGACAGTGACGCGCTTGAAGCGCTCCTACAGCGCCCAGATATCATACTCAAGTTCGACATACCAGAAGGCGAACCCGCCCCTGCCGTCACTGCCAACCCCGACGGGACCGCAACCTTTACCTCGGGGGGGAACAGGTATAGGCCGCTCCAGCGATCACTGCTCTGGCAAGCGATCAATCGCGGCCACGGCAACTGTGCCCGTGTGCTGCTAGCGGACGGACGGGTGTCTAAGATCCTTCGCGACTTGTCCGGGGCCCTCCCGTCGTTTGTCGGCGTTGACGACGATATCATTGGGGAGGTTGTGCAGCTCCACGCGTCTAACAGCTGGCAGGCCACGGACGACATTTTTGGCTTCCTGTGACCACGGACCGCGAGAGTGTGCCTGGACAGTATCACATGGCAAGTATGGTGGACGTTGACGGCAATTGCCTGCTGTCTCATCTCATCATTTGCGGGTGGGAGGAGGAGGCGATCGACCTGCTCAAGCAGAAGGACAGCCCGAAAAACAGCTCCAACTACCAAGGAGAAACGGCCCTGATGCTGGCTGTCTTGTACTCACGCGCCGAGGTGATCAAGTTCTTGCTCGAGTCGCCGATCGGCGGCTCCGTCGACTGGCTCGTGGTGAACAGATGGGGGCAAAACCTACTTGTGTACGCAGAGAGCGCCAAAAACGACAGCGTGACGCGCAAGGTCGTGGCGCGGGTGCAGAAAGAGGCCAAGCTGCGGTCGCAGGCGGGCTTTGGCAGCTTCAACGAAGATCGGCGCCGCCGCCCTGGGCGTGTCGACTCGTTCTTTGATGCCGAGCTGAAGACGGTCATGGACAAGCAGCTGGGCAAATTCCGCATCACGGTGAAGAAGAAGCGCTCGTGATGCTGCTCGGGTGGTCGAGGGGGATGCGTGGCATTGTGGGAGGATCTGGTGATTCGGTCTTTGCGGAAGCGCTCTAGGCGTCGCGGATGTAATGATCTTTGCGTGCTGACGAAGGCATTGTTCTTTAAGGCCGCCGCCTCGTGTGGTTTAGGTGCCAGGAGTTCCATAGTCTAACACTCTGAATCTGGTTTGCTCGTCTTTCGGCAGTGACTTGGTAATACAGGATGAGCCATTTCTTCTAGTGAACGTGACGTTCCTCAAATTGTGGATAGGATTAGGAAGGTCTTACTCACAATCCTTATTCTTCAAAGCCTTTTGAACATGACTGTAAGCGCACAGTTTACTGTTCATGATGCTGGAAGGCGGGTATATAAAAATTTGACATATTGGTTGTGCATGTTGTTCTCATGTCATTCATCATCGAATCAACTATGCCCCGACGATACGGACAATGATCACTCGACATCCAACGTTCAGTTGCTACCAGCTGTATTATGAGTGTCTGGATGGCGCCAGATATTTCGGTCCTCCAAATAACCGGCCGGTGCTCGACGTTCCGGGGGAGTCATGTGCCCCTTACAAAACGAATACCGTTTCCGCGCCTATGCGGAAACATACTGATCGTGATGATGATTTACAAGTTGTTACTCTAGAACTCAGGAGACTTGACACGAGCAAAGTGAGGAACGGTCGAGAACGTCAGACCTTGCACAGGAACGACCTCTGCTCCAGTGTATCCCGAGATAGGTTCGTTGTCTAGATCAGAGGGCGGGGCCTACGATCGGGGGCCTCGTTCAGCCCGAAGCCAATTTTGCCTATTTCGCAGAGCTCATTCACGATTCATTGATACCTTGGACAGCAACATGTTGGGGCAACTCTTCAGAGCTGCTGCGAAACACGACATTGCATGTAGAGTTCGGTATGGGGAAGCCGATGGTGCATGCACCGATGCTGGAGTTCACGACAATTCATGACTAGTTGACTTAAATTACGATGCGGGTATCGCACGGGAACTTCCATACGCGGTGGATCGGTGTAAAGAAGATAATATAGAGGATCACGACGCGAGTTAATCCATTCATGCTAAGCCCCCTCCCATCATGACAGATCTGGCCACGCCAAGCAACCTCACAACCCAATGAGTCGGCCATTTTGCCATGTCGCCCGTGAGAAACAAAAACGATATATCGTCTGATTCTGGAACAGTCCTCTTCCCGTCACACCGCTCGGCGTTCGTGAGCCATAGACCGAGCGAGCAGAATACCCAAGCGAGGATAGACTCTTTTCACGAGCCGATGATCATGTCCCGCTTGGCCCTACGAGGCCAGGACCCGGCGTCGCGGCCGAGGCTCCGCGGTACACCGCCCGTGGAACCTCATCACATATCACCACCCACGAGTCATCCCAAACAGCCCGAACTGACCGTACAAGTACACTAAAAGCTCCAAGGTCCCCCGGCGACACGGCAGCGGAGCAGTGAAGCGAGAGCATCGGCGCGCCCCCCATTGTGTCGGGTCCCCTTCATCGGCCTAGATGCATACTCGCTCGCACACTCGGCCGTGCCCGTTCATCGCTCGCTTCTCTTCTGAATTCAGACACCCCCCCCCCCCTTCTTTCCTGAGGCTGAGGCGGCAGACACCAACCGAGGAGCCACTCGCGTCTCCGCCCGCAGATCGTCCATGCGAAACCCCCACTCGAGATGTTCGCCCATGCTCTTCTGTCTCTCTGCGTGGTATCTGTTCGGCTCGGGTGGCATGGGCGGAAGCGCGCCAAGGCAGGCAGGATCAGAGACAGAGGCAAAGCGTCCTGCATGCTACGCGCTCTGACAGCAATATTGGATCGCAATGTGCATCCCGACCTTCGCGTCGGGCTGCCGGTACTTTCAGTAAAGGCGGATAGGATCCAAGCACCAGACATCGGGCTCCTTCATCGCTGGCGGGACGTGTATACATGCTCGAAAGTGCCCACTCATTGATCCTTGACCGTCCCATCCCGCCGTCAAGGTTTGAGGGCAAGACACCACGACCCCGGCAAGACCCGCATCTCCGACACCCCTCCTGTCTCTCTCTCTCTCTCTCTCTTCGTCCTCGTCCCAACCACAATCGGTGGGCGATCGCAATCATCACAATGGAGGCGAGAGAGAGGGAAAATGGGAAACAGCCAGGGACCGTTCCAGGCCCCCCTCGTTGCTGCGTGGGATGGATGACCTGCTGTGCCGTGGCCCTGCACAACCCTGCTACGCCCACCCCAGCCCGTGGTACCTCTTCGCTCGGCACAGTTTGGCAGCGAGGGCGCGGGGCGCCGGAATAGACTCCCCGTGGACTGGGGGTCGGTTTGTTTGCACGGACGGACGTGACCTGGGCCGTACGGGAAGGTGAGACAAGCTGATTACATTATCGGAAACCGCATCTCGTGCTGAAGATGGACGAGGCGAACGGGGCGGCTTTGCCGCGGAAGGCTATCTAGGAAGCCATTTGGGCTTTGAGGGGGGGGTTCGCCTTGGTTAGGGTTATAGCGGCGTTCAGACGATGATATGGGCACGAATATTGGAGAGCGTCACAATGCCCAACGTAATGCTCCATATGACGAGAATGATGAAGCTGTTGAGAGACTGCCATCAGCCAGTGGTAGTACAGAACGTTCAGTGTTGTCGTGACTTTCTGGGCGCAGGCCTGTCGCGTCTTCCTTCATTTACTTGTGTTTGCCTCCTAATTGATCCATCACATCTCATCACCCTAATAAAGGCTGTTTGTGATTTGATTTGGCTGCCCGATAGTAGGCGCCATTTGCTTGCTAAGAACAATTAAATGACGGCTGCAGCACCGACGCCGCGCGGACCCCAGCCGGGTAGGGGGTGACGAATGAGTGCCCCGGAATCAACGTGGTTGCTTTTTTTCTTCTCTCTTGTGCCCCTGGAAGAACAGCCGCAGACATCACTCTCCGTAGGCTCGTGTCTGACACGCCTCTCTCACGCGTCTTGTTGCGGCCGTTGGGACCTGGAGGCGTCTTCCTTCAGCATGAGACGTCCCCTCCAACCCCGACGCGTGAGGCCACCCCTGCTGGTCGTGCGTGTGTCTCGTTCGTCCGCGCTGTTTCTTTGAGTTGGTGCCTTGTTCCTGGTGTCACGCCGCTAGGCAGATCTGGGATGTCATCACATTCCAATCACCCGTCTTCGCCTTCCAAGTCGACGCTTGCGAGAGCTGGCAGCACACGTTACGTCCGCGTAGTCTCACAGTTTCGGTCCGTGGATGGTAAACCTCGGAGCGGCAGCACAGCGTAGCACTTGCTCGAGGGGAGGCCAAGCGAAGCGGAAATGAAAGACAGACTGGAGAAGCTTTTGCGAAGGGTAGCATCCGGCACCGCCAACCCGGCGCCGTGTGTCCCCGCCACCTCTGCCTGTGGTTCGCACTAACCAGCGGCCGCCGACGCCGCTCCCGGCAAAAGACCTAGCGGTAGCGGCCATCTCCACCTCGCCGTTCTTTCGCCGTGCTGCCGCCGTGTGTCCGCATCGAAGTTCTCATCATTGCTTTCTGCGGTCTGCACCTATTCGTCGACTTGGGCCGTGGCGCCCCCAATGAGTCCCGGCTACGCAGGCACTGCGGACGAGCGCCGTGCTTGGTTCTCAGGCTCAAGTGAGACGGGACATGGCGGTGGACGGACGGGATATGTCATTGACTGCCGACCATGTGGCTCTGGAATGGGTGGAAGCCGCCAGACGATCTCATGTTCTTGCGACGGCGCTTAGACTGTATAGATGGGCAGGCGCAGTGTTGCGGGCGAGCGTGCTTCCTGGGGGTCATGGGGTGGCTGCTGAGCTGTCGACAGGCTTGAGTCACCTGTGCCACTCTAGTGATGTACGGCGGCTTACAGGGAGCTGGACAGGTATGCTTAGATGGTCGACCTCCTCTGGCGAGCGAACGAGCTCGACTTGACAACGGACGATTCGATGAGCAACATCCCACGCGTGTTTCTGCCGAAGCGCCCTGCCGCTATCACATCCCTAGAGCTCACCTGGGAGCAGGCTCCCGGCGTCGAACCGACGAAGATCGACGCGTGCGACATTGACGTGCTTTTTGCAGCGCTCACGGCGCTGTCGGGGCTGAGGCATCTGATTCTGACGCTCCGGTGGCGTGGCGGCAACTGGGACCACGAGCCTGTAGAACTCGACGCTTTCGACAGTGAAAAGTCGTTTCTTGCCTGGCACGACCGATTCGTGAACGAGAGGCTACGTCTCGAGCACTTCACGGTCGCCACTCCAGAGAGCCTGTGAATAAGCCTTCGAAGCCGTCATGTTGCCAAGTTGCAGCACGGGGCGCCTTCTGAAGCATCACGCCTCATCCCTGCTGAGAACAGAATGGATTGCTGGCATGCTCTGCTACAGTGTTCTCTGAATAGCGAGGGGAGTGACGAGCCCATCGACGAGGCAGAGCACAAGAACAAGCATACGTGCACACGAACCGTCCGAATGAACAAGACAGATGAGAATGACCTTGTGATTTTGAACAATGACAACGTCACTACGCCGAATCCGCCGGCCGAGTTCGACAAGGGCAAGCCAGTGCTGGACCGCGGGTGATGCATCCTCAAAGGCCCAGTCCAGTAGGCTCGCTCGTGATGCAACTAGCGCGAAGTCTAGTCTTTGATAATTCTAGAATTGTTTGACTCGCTGCCGCAATAGGAAAGCAAATGCACCGTGATACACATTTCGTTGTCGTATCGCATGGGCTTCGTGTTTGGCAGTAGAGGACCCCTCCTGGCCTGAGCGCTCGAGCTCTCCGAGCTTTGATCCTCTTGGCGAGCAGCGACAGGCCGGCATCTCCTTGTCATGGAGTGAATCCGTCGTTGATAAGGTGCAGAGACCCTGTCTCTTACGTGTGTTGTCGGTGGTAATAGTATGCAGATACCGAGTCGTCTTTCGCCGGGCCTACCTGGTCAGGATGCGCGTCTTGTGCTTCGTTGCGGCGGCCGAGTACAGCTCGAGCTCGAGCCCGGACGCTTGACCCCCTTCCCCTCCCCTCCCCGCATGATACTCGTCGTCGTCACGGCAGGCCTTAGCATGATGCTCATAAGGCCGTTCGCAGCGTTGACATGTTTCGTGACGCTTGCCTCCCGTCCTTTGACACACGGAGCCGCCGACTGCCGGACTGAACCTGGGGGGCGATCGAGGGCAGCCGGGTCTGGCCGAGGGGGACTTCCGAGCGCCCGTTGAAATCGAGCTGTTCTGGTCTTGCTAGGCTGGTCATGCCTTCGATACCTGCCAGTGATGCTCCGAGTTCGCAAAACAAAAAAAACGTGCACCAACCCCTGCCAAGTCCTGTTCCTCTGCATGCGAACGAGTACTGTACATGGTACACTCCCAACCTTTGCTGCCCACTCACGCGAAAACGTGCTCTTCGTCGATGGAGAACGTGGCCATGATCGGTCGAGAGAACGTGCTCCAGCATGTAGAAGGTGGCTAATATTGCCCCAGAGGACGGTCCCAGAGGCGCCAATCAGCCGTTGAGACAGAGCTGGGAATGAAACGTGCCCATAAACATACCCACTCACTCACTCAGCCTGTATTCATGCTCGTGTCTTTATGCTCTTTTCCTGTTCATGCCATCGCTTCCATGATAATGATGTGATGAGATGAAGCTGAGGGTGACTGACACTGGTCATGGGCTGGGCTTCCAGAACCCTTCTCTTCCCGCTCGCGCCATCCAGGTCATACGCAGGAGCATGAGTACATCTAACATGGTCAGCCCTGCCAGGAACAGCCGTCGGCGCTGGTGGAGCCCCATGACATGATGCGCAGCGAGTCGCGATGCTCAACACGTCCTGCAGTGGCACCCCCTGCTGCTCCGAGTGTCCTCGGCCATACCCAAAATCACACTGACACTTGACAACGACTCAGCGCCTTCGTCTGAAAAGGCGACGCTGAACAAATGAATAGGCCCTTCATTGACACGTGAACTTCACCGCAATCAGCGGCGTGGCAGGGTCACGGCCACGGCCACGAGTTCCCCTCTCGGCACCTGATTGCTCTGCCGAGACAGTTCATGCATCCCCAGTTGCGGCCTTCCCCGCGTCGATAGTCCCGGAGCAACGACCAATTCGGGCGATCAAAGGCTGCCTGAACAGGCAATGGGGGGTAATCGGGGTACGAAGGCAAACAACCCATGAGGTGCCATGAGGTGGGAAAAGAAGGGGGGGATGAGGAGAGCAGAGGTGGATGGCGGTGGTTCTCAATCTCGCATCATGACAAGCGACGCCGCCCGAATGAGCAGGTCCCAACATCTCGTAGCCCCAGCGACGCTTATAACACCATGGTGTCGCCCCGGCTCTTGATCATGGTCATCTCGGAGCTACCGACTCGGCGCTCGCAGCACCTCGTGATACCAGCAGCATAAAGAGTCTGGCCTTGTCCGTCCCATCTCTGAGACCACCCCCCTTGCCGTCCTTCCCTCCCCACACGTCGGCATCATCGCACAAAAACATGAGACGGAACAGCATTCTTCTGTTGGCGGCTGGCACCCTCACGGGCCTCGCCTCGGCGCAGTCTTCGGGTGACATCAACGTGCTGACGATGAACGTCGCCGGTCTCCCCGCCATCCTCCAGGGCAATGATGTGCCGGGCGATAAGACGGTGAACTCGCGCCTCATCGGCACCAAGCTTGTGCAGCACGGGTACGACGTCGTCAACGTCCAGGAGGACTTCAACTACCACGCGGCGCTGTACTCGACGGCGACGCTGCCGTTCCGCACAGCAACCTCGGGTGGCGTCCCCTTTGGCTCGGGCCTCAACACGGTGTCGCAGTACGAGATCATCGACACGGTCCGCGTCAAGTGGGACACGTGCTCGAATGACTCGGGGTCCGACTGCCTGACGCCCAAGGGCTTCACGCTGACGCGGCTCGCCGTGAGCGACGATGCCGCGCAGGGCGCCGCCTTTGTCGACGTGTACAACTTCCACACCGACGCCGGCACGGCGGCGGGGTGACCTGACGGCACGCACGGCGAACCTGCGCCAGCTGTCGGCCTACATCGCGGGGGGGCCGGCCGGGAAACCCCGCCTCCCCTTTTGGGAAAAGCAACCTCGGGGTACACCCGCCCCGCCTGAAGAAATCCCGGGGTGTTCCG